GGGGTGGCTGAGGAAGTCCTTGGCATGCAGTCTGCTCCTGGTACCCTCCAGAATGAATGAGGGCAGAACCGCAGCAGTGAACAGCGAGGTCCTTTTAGCAAGTAACATTCAAATAACGCAGGGAATTCTCAAAAACAGGCAAGTTGCAGCAGGTGCCCGTCGCAGGGCCTCCGTGGGGAGGAGCCAGCGGGCCGGAAAAGGGCGGCCCCGGAGGAGGGGCCGGGAGGACTGCGCGCTGAGTGGGGAGAGCCGACGGGAGGGGAGGGTAGCCAACTTCAGCGACGGAGAAGGCGGGTGGCCTGGGCTCTGCGGCCCTTCCCGGGGCGCTCCGGCCGGGGAGCCGGGTCCGTCCTCGGTGGCGCCAGGACCTGGTGAGCCACTGGCCCCGGAGCGCCTGGTCAGGGCGGTGCGCCGCCCTGGGGAGGATACACCCCAGAAGTCACCGCAAGCCCGCGCCGCGCGTCCCTCGCCGGGCTCACGCCGCGCGCAGCCTCCTCGGACCCCCGCGGCGGCCGAGGCAGAGCCCCCTCTTCCCGCCTTGCGGGGGCCGGCCATCTTGGAGAGCCTTCGCCCCCCTCCGGCCCCTGGGCGCAGGGAGGGTCCGTTCCCCACGGGGAGGCAGAGGCTGCTCACGGGGTCCGCAACGGTGCTAAATGGCCGGTGCAGAGGGGGGCATTCCCTCCGAGCCGGGTACCCCGGGGGGACCCGGACATTGGCCACTGGTAAGCAGGGGAAGGCAGGCGGGGGCCGCCGAGGGAAGTGCGGATGGGAATTCCTAGGAAAGGGCCCGCAGGAGCCCCGGGGGCCTGCACGTTCCTCCCCGCGGCCGCCCCCAGCTCTCCCGCGCTCCCGGGCGGGCGGGGTGAGCGCCTCTGGAGGGCTTCCTGCCCTCGGGGCTCCCTTCCGCGGACCCTCCGGCCCGGGGCTCCGGCGCTGCGCAGCGCCCGCCATCCTGGTCGTGCGGCGACCACCGGCCCTTCGCAGACGCGGAGGCGTCAGTCTACGCGACCGACCTTCTCAAGTCCGAGATGCCAAACGGATGCAATTACTGCGCCAAATTTCCTTCAATCGGTCCACTTCTATTTTTACCTAAAGCTTAGTACAAAGAAACTTCATGCCTTAAGGTTTTTCATTAAGGTACTCTGTTGACACTGTGGTAGGTTCACTCAATTTAAGAGGATATGAACGTTTACAAAGTGGTGGACAAGGTTTCTTGCTTTATTAAAGAAACTACTGCAGCTCTTCAAGGTGCAAATTCAAGTTGAAATAATATTCTGACTAGATTTACTGTATTTTAAAGCTGGCCTTGAAAGCTTTAAATTTCAATTTGCAAATGCTTGATCTCAAACATAAAATGGTACGTTAGCCTTTTTGTAAAGCTTATTACAAGTGATTAAATATCTACAGTTCTAGAATGACAGATCTTTTTATTTTGTACCTTTCAAATTATTGTATCATTTCCACAAAATGATTTGTGTTCATTTAAAATCTTTTTATCTACTCTGTCACTACTACTTGCTATGTATTTATGTGGAATATTTGCACAACACAATAAAACTAAATATTTTCTTCTCCTTAGGTACTTTTGTCTTACAGCTTAATGGAATACCAAGTTTTCTCTGTCAAAAATGATAAGGTATCTTCTGCATCTAAACTATCGTTGGGGCTTGTTGGATGGCCACTGAGTAACCATAAAGGTTACTATCCCCTCACATTAAAAAAAAAAATGCTAAAATAATCATGAAAATATTGAAACTGTGACTTACTCTTATACCTGCAAGTATTAACCTTACCTGCCAATGACCAGTGAACATGAGATATAAATAACAATTACTACTGTCCTATCATACCAGAGGGGCCAGAACCCACCTGTCTTCACCAATGCTACAAGGATTTTTGTTTTCCTTTTACTGATGAAAAAATGGATTGAGTGGTAAAGACCTGAATGTAAGTCATGAAACCATAAAACTCTTAGAAGAAAACATAGGCAAAAATCTCTTGAATATAAATATGAGCAACTTTTTCCTGAATGCATCTCCTAGGGCAAGGGAAACAAAATAAAAAATGAACAAATGGGACTTAATCATGCTAAAAAGTTTCTGTACAGCAAAGGACACCATCAGCAGAACAAAAAGGCATCCTACAGTATGGGAGAATATATTTGTAAATGACATATCTGACAAGGGGTTAACATCCAAAATATATAAAGAACTCATATACCTCAACACCCAAAAAACAAATAACCCTATCAAAAAATGGGTGGAGGATATGAACAGACACTTCTCCAAAGAAGAAATTCAGATGGCCAACAGGCACATGAAAAGATGCTCCACATAGCTAACTATCAGGGAAATGCAAATAAAAATCACAAAGATATCACCTCACACCAGTTAGGATGGCCAACATAGAAAAGACTAGGAACAACAAATGCTGGCGAGGGTGTGGAGAAAGGGGAACCCTCCTACACTGCTGGTGGGAATGTAAGCTAGTTCAACCATTGTGGAAAGCATTATGGAGGTTCTTCAAAAAACTAAAAATAGAAATAACCATTTGACTCGGGAATTCCACTCCTAGGGATTTACCCTAAGAATGCAGCAGCCCAGTTTGAAAAAGACATATGCACCCCTATGTTTATTGCAGCACTATTTACAATAGCCAAGAAATGGAAGCAACCTAAGTGTCCCATCAGTAGATGAATGGATAAAGAAGATGTACATATACACAATGGAATACTATTCAGCCATAAGAAGAAAACAAATCCTACCATTTGCAACAGCATGGATGGAGCTAGAGGGTATTATGCTCAGTGAAATAAATCAGGCAGAGAAAGACATACTGAATGATTTCCCTCATTTGTGGAGTATAACAATGAAGCAAAACTGAAGGAACAAAATAGCAGACTCACAGACTTCAAGAAGGGACTAGTGGTTACCAAAGGGGAGGGGTGTGAGAGGGCGAATGGGAAGGAAGGGAGAAGGGGATGGAGGGGTATCATGATGGGTGCACGTGGTATGTGTGGGATCACAGGGAAGACAGTGTATCTCAGAGAAGACCAATAGGCACTCTGTGGCATCTTACTACACACTGATGGGGGGGACTTGATAATAAGGGTGAATGTAATAACCACATTGTTTTTCTTGTGAAACATAAGAGTGTGTATCAATGATACCTTAATAAAAAAATATGGATTGAGTGGCCTGTGTGAGGAATCTAGCCAAGTTCAAGGAGGAGCCCGGCCAGTCGGCCCAGCTCTGGCTGGGATCTTTGTCCCCCATCCGCTTGCAGCGGGGGCTGGCTGCTGAGGCCTCTGTGGCTCTGGTTACCGGGCACAGGATCCCAGCGGAGCCTGCAGCAGACACTCCATAAATATTTGTCAGGTGAAGCAAGCGGATGATTAAATAAATGAAATCGGTGTTTTATTACTAGATCTGGGTGGACTGTTAGTCACCTAAGCTGCGGACCTTCATGGGGCTACCAGGAGTCTAGAGGAAGGTGCCTGGAGCTCAATCCCAGAAACAGCACGAATGACTCATTTTCTAGTCAATTCATTTTTTTCCCACCAAAATAATGACTAATGTACTTTCAAGTTATCTTTCTATATTTGAAAATCCCAATTATTTTTAAAATGTTAGTTTAAATGTTACATATTTTTACAAACAGGCTTGACATAACTAACCACTTGGCACTCTATTGTGGAGCAGTTTGACTTCAAGATTATGTGGTAAAAGATGAGCCTGCCCTCTTCTGACTGAGCACAGTAACAGCCCAGTGAAGGAGGGGAGGCAGTGGGCTGTTTACAAAGCAGAAAGGCGCTAATTACTGGTGGTAAAATAAGATTATCATATGTGCAGTAGAAGGTAAGGCCTGTGGAAGTTACGTGTGAGGCTTCCATACACCACCTAGTATCAGCCTCTCCTTTTTGGGTCACACAAAAACACAGAAGTCTCATTAGGATGCTTCCCTACTTATCTCTGCATCCTGCCCCCATTATTATCTCATTGGCCTAGAATCCACCTTCACTCACTGTAGGGGAGGAAGTGGTTTTTAGGTGTGGAAGTTGCAATTACCCTTAACCTCTGACCCAGATATCTTTCCGAGAGGGATGCATTCAGGCTGGGAATTCTTCTTCCCCTCCAAGGTTAAAAAACATCTTTCCTTCTCAAGCAACCTATTCTACATGTCAAAAGAATCTGTTCTCCAGGAAAGGACTGAGGAACCCCTGCTGTCTTTGAACCAGGCTTTTGATTTGCTGTTGTGGTAGCTTAAAAAAAAGTTATTTCCAAAGCAGAAACTTTGGTATAAAAAACCCCCAAAGATCTCCAGGGAAATATATTGTTTATATTGATAGACAAAAGCCAATTCCAAAAGATCCCAAGCTATATGATTTCTGTTTGCAAACACGACATATTTTGAAATAACAAATTTTAGAAGTAGAGGAACGATTAGGGATGGCCAACACTCGGGGTTCAGTTATTAAAGAGCCATAGAAGGGGGTCCTTTTGTGATGGAATGTTCTCCGTCTTGACTGTAGTGATGGATAAACAGACCTACACAGGTGAAAACATACAGAACTTAATACACGCGAAGACAAGTAAAACTGGGGAAATTTGAATAAAATCGGTGGATTGTATCAAAGTCAGTCCCTGGTTGTGAGATATATACACAGTTACATTATTTTTTTTGCAAACTTTGGCAAAGTGACACCACTGGAGAAACTTGGCACAGCGAGTTATTTCTTACAACGGCGCGTGACTACAATGAGCTAAATACACGCACACCCGCAGGCCCGCAGCCGCGCCCCCCCGCCCTGCTCCCGCAGCGCCCCGGGGAGGACGCAGGGACTCCTGGCGTGCCTTGGTGGGTCTGCAGCCTAGCGTCCGGGGGCGGAGCCGGCGGGGCGGGGCGCGCGGCGGAAGTGACGTCGGTGGGCGGGGCGCTCACCTGGGCACCTGGGCACCTGGGCTGCCGCGGCGGCTCGGGGCGGCTGCGAGACGCGCGCGATGGAGGGCCAGAGCGGGAGCCCGTGGGCCCTGGGGCTGCTGCGCACCTTCGACGCGGGCGAGTTCGCGGGCTGGGAGAAGGTCGGCTCGGGCGGCTTCGGACAGGTGTACAAGGTGCGCCACGTCCACTGGAAGACGTGGCTCGCCATCAAGTGCTCGCCGAGCCTGCACGTCGACGACAGGTCAGCGGCCCGGGGCCGGGGAGGCGCCGCGGCGCTGGGGCGGGCGACGGGGTGCGTGGATTCCGGGGGGGTCTTCTCTCCAGCCGGGTGGCCGGAGCGCTCGGAGGGAAAACCAGGCGCCGGGCCAGACCGGGAGCCGCCGGCGGAGGGGCGCGGGGCGTGGTTTGCCGAGCTCCGCGCCCAGGTGCGCGCTCCGGGCGGGGGCCGGGCCCTGTGAGGGGCCGGTGGTGCAGCCCGGTTGCCCCCGACGCCGCGGACTTTCGGGGCAGCCAGCTCGCCCGGCGCCTGGGACCCGCGCCTGGAGGCGAATCCGGGCCGCCCGGACCCGCCTGGGCGCCGCGGTCCGCACCTGATTAGAAGAATTTTTGTGGATATCTGGGCTTTGTGAGTTAGACTCCGTTCGACTTCCTTAGTAATTCTCGGTGGAGCGCAGAGTGGTAAAGACGGTAATTATTTCGGTCGGGAGCCCTGGCTTGGTGTGGCCAGGCTTCCTCGGCGCCGCGGCACTTGGGGGCGGGATCTGGCCTTGCCGTGGGGTCCTTCGAGCGGCCCAAGGGCTTTTCCGCTCAGCGCTTCCTCGTAGCACCGTCCCGTTTTAGCTTGACTTCATATCGATGCCAACCCCGGACGGCGGGCGCTTGCATTAACCCTCGTGGTGGCCGCGCCACAGCGCCCTCCTGCACTCCAGTTGTCCGGCCCAAAAGCGGAGGGAGGATTTGCCTCCTTAACGGGGCGCTCAAGGTAATGCAGACACCGTCGGAAAGGACGCAAAGCCGCCCATACTAAGCTCGACGGGTCGGGTGCGGTCTGTGCATAATTTTGGTGGCGGGGGACGGGAGGGTCGTGAGAGGTAGCTTTTCTTTTTTTTTTTTAACTATTTAATGTTGCATTTAATAATTTATATGTGAGTTTCGGTTGAGCACGCTTAAAATACACTTTAGTGAAGTTTGCATTCCACGTGGAAGTTGTGTTGTGCTTATGTTCTGTGTGAAAATCTCCCTTAGACAATCACCCCCAACACGTCCGCGCCCACACACACTTTTTCTCGGAAAAGCAGCTTTTTCTACGTATCGGCGTAGCCTTTGCTGTCTCAGAGACCTGGTTTATAATTCTCCGCTTATGAGTGTTGGGGCCTCCAAACCGGCTTTCAGCTGTAGGTGGCAGGTGCTGGTCTCTGGGGTGGTTCTATGCGTCCCTAGGAGTAAGGCATGTCTGGGATTGGAGTGTGGGCTGTTACAGGCAGTAGCAATAGGCCTGGGGAGAAGAGCTCCTCTCCCGCACCGGCTGCTGGTGCGTTTTCATTCTGGCCTACGAGATGAGAGTAGAGCTTTTGCTATAAGCCTTGAACTTGGCGTTTATCTTAGAAACTTCAGTGAAATGGTGACAAGAGGCATAAAAATGTCACTAACTCAAAGGTGCAATGCTCCTTCCCGGGCCGGGGAGCTGGGAACGGCTCAGGCTGGGAGCGGCGCTCTGGTTATTTTGGTGGTGGCCAAACCACCTTGAATGCCAGCCGGTGGTTAGACCCTGAAAGGCAAGACCCTTGCCATGCGGGTGCTCTTACGCTTTCGGGGGGGCATTTGTCTGATGGAGTCTTCTGGTTGAAGTGGGTATTTGTCATCAGCGAACACATTTCTTGTATTGGAAGAGCAAAGTAAACAACACGTCCCCAGGCTGACTCATCACCCTGCATCCTTAGAATCTGTTACTTCCAGCAACCAGGCCCTTATTTCCTGGGTGGCCTAGGGTAGGTAGGGTTTCTCCACTTGAGGCGGGACACTTGGGCGATTGCATAGCATGGTAGAAAAGTGTTTTGTCCTTTGACTGGAAACCTTTCCTGCCCTGCCTGAATCGGGCAAGTGGTGGCGCGTACTGGGGCGGCCAGGTCGAGGTCAGCATCGCCCAATAGGAAGCGATTCACCTGCACTTTGCTGGCCAGGTAGAGCAGGCTGGGGTTCTGCATATTTGCAGCAAAGGTGGAATTCTCAGAGAATATGGTCAAAGCCCTGCTCATTGTAAAGACAGCTCCTCTCTGTTAATGATTAACTGTATTGAGCTTGAGGCTCTCGGTAGGAATTTGTGTCACTGCCGCTGGTTAGCGGAGGGCGGATGGGCTGGGTGCACCGCAGTCTTGCAGGGCTGCATCTACACCCTGGCTTCTGCTCTTGGATAAGCCACCCTCCATCCCCACCCCGCTACTGGCATGCTATTGCCTGGAGTGGGGAATAGGATTTTCCTGGGGTTCCTGGGTGCAGCCCCCAGCTCTGTACCGCTCCTGGCTAAGTCTTTCCTCTGTTTGAAGGATGGCATCTCTCACCCCTACTATGAGGGTCTGGGCCTCTTCTCTCCCAGGATTGGAGTCAACTGTGACCCTTCCACATGTTACATAGGAGGCATTGCAGGTACAGGTGTGCACCAGGCCAATTTATGTCCACTGTTTCTCTCTCCAGGAAGCCTGGGGTGTCCTGGCCCCAGCCTTTATGCCTCTCTTTGGCCATAGCAGGGTCTGATCCCCAGCACCTGCCTGGGGCTCCTCTTGGAGGGGCAGGCTGCCCCAGGCCTTGCAAGCAGATATCTCTGCGTGGGAAGGTTGGGGGCTGCCGAGCCCCAGACACCCTTTGAGGGTCCTCAGGGGGCAGAGAAACACCTACTGGAGGGCTTCCAAGGGCATCTTCTGGGAGTTCAAGAGGAACCTCCACTGATCTTCCTAGCAATGGGTGTGCCTGTGGGGACATGCGGCCTCCCTGGCTGACCCTCATTAGCAGGTGGGGTCTAAGGATGGGCATGTTACCATCTAGGTGAGAACACGGTGATCCAAAGGCCCCGTTCCCCCATCCCCACCTCAGGCTAAGAGGAAGCCCTGAATAACAGTGCCTGGCTTGGTGCCGCGCAGCAGCTAATGCACCCTGGGCACCAGCTAGTCTGGGCGAGTCTGAGCAAACCCCAGGTCTGTAAGTACAGAGCTGACAGTCAGACAAGCCCATTTTTTGTCAATTTTAAAAATAGCAGCGTGGGAACCCCTTGGAGGCACCTTGGGAGCATAATTGGATTGGTGCACAGCAGGAAGGCCTAGCTGAGAGGCATCAGCTAACAAATGATTAAACCGTTTTCCCAAAGGTGGTTCCCAGGTCTCTCCCTCTGAGGAGCTCTTTGTCACCGACGCCTTTCACCACACCCCCATCTTTCCCCTCCCCTGCCTTCCTGGGCACCCCCTGGGTCTCCTTTCCCCCTTTCCAAGGGGTGTGCTTCCCAAACAGAAGCCGCACTTCCCTTGCCTCTGGACATCTCTGGAATTCCTGAGTCAGGAGGCAAACCCATGCCTTCTCCAGAAAGTGTCTTAGAAATGATCAGTCTGACGGGATTTCTGATAATTCTCCCGACCCCGATGGTCTCTGTGGGATACATTTTGGCCAGCTCTCAATGAGAAAAAAAGGGAATTAATATGAGTGCTAATGAGAAAGTATTGTCAACAAATTGAACCCCAGCTTTGTCCTATGCCCAGAGACCTTTCGTCTGGGACCAAAAGGGGGCCCTGAGGGTGGGGGCACCTTCTCCATTCCTGCTAGGAGACAGAATTAGCAACCCTTCCCCAAAAGACAAAGGAGGAGACATTTTTTTTGGAATGATTACATTAGAGAAATATGCTGCCACTCCTACTGAATTATGCCTAATTGTAGAAACACGATTAGCACATCACAGTTTTTAGGTCGTTTTAATTAGGATTGATGTCAGTGGATTTGCGTGGCCCTGAACTTCCCTCCTGATAATAAAGACTGGGATTGATGGTGGTAGGACCATGACCCAGATGGCACCATCAAGGTCAGTGCACTCCCAGCCCCTTACCAGCTCCTGGCTCTGGGACTGGTTTGAAAAGTCTGTGCAGGCCCTCAGGTAATAATAGTAATCGCAGTAATAGGTCTGCAGTTTCTTAGTGTTTTTGTCAACATAAACCAGAAACTCCACTTCTAGGAAAAAGTGTATTAAAAAAAAACTGCCACTGACCAAAAGAAAAAAAAATTGGTGTTTTCTTCGAGTGAAAAGCGTTTTCTGTCTTTTCTGAGGGCCCATTTCAGGCTTATTGAATCGCAAATGCCACCAGGGATGACAATGGCATCCCAAAGCTGGTGTTGGCCACTGGGGGTGTCCCAGGGGAGGAGGAGAGCACCCCTGCGGGTATCCCAGAAGCAGTTGAACAAGTCCTAGAGGATGCAGTCATTTGGATATGGGCTTAGTTGTTACTAGAATATAAACTGGATGAACATTTTTTTGTGCCAACCCTTGTGAACACAACCAGTGCGGGCCTTAGGGAACCCTGGCCAACCCGACTCCCCAGGCCTGTGCAAAACAGCCGGCCTCTGCAGCCACTTGAATGTCCACAGGCCTTCCTGGAACCCCTGCCTCTCCCAGGGGGTGTGGACATGGGCAGGGTCCTTCCTACCCTAAGGCATCTGTCTGGTTTGAGTTGTCACAAGGGGCCAGGAACCAACTTCTTTACCAGGACAGCTGGTTTTCTTCAATGAAATGTCCTGAATGTGCGTTCAGTTGTGTAAAGCCTGCCTGGCATTTATTCCAAAGAGGCTATGGGCTCTCTTAGACTAGTCAAGCTGTGAGCTTTCTGGAGCCAACCAACAGTAGTGGCTTTTTTTAATTTTTAATTTTTTTGTAACTAAGGTAAATGGGGTCTCTGTGTTCAATGGAAAGAGCCTGGGGCAGGGGAAAGAGCAGGAACTTGCTGAACTTGGTGTGCTGGGGAGGGAAGAGTGACCAGCTGCCAGCAGAGTCACTGATGAGCTCACCAATCAGAAGTCACCTGGGCTTAGGTATTAAGCCCTTTGGGCAAATGGAAGAAAACACTTTTTTTTGCAGATTGGCTCAGAGCTTCCACTTAGCAAGATACTCAGCCTTAAAGTAATTGACTTTGTTCTCAAGGTCCCATCTGTTACCAGTCAGCTTTGGCACTGGGCTCACCCTCTGAATGTCAGCTGAAAAGTGGAAAATGACTTCCTTAAAGGCCAGCCCATCAACATCTGGCAGTCTGTGCCTCAGAACCTGCAGACCAGGAGGGGAGGCCAGCACCGTGCCACACTGCAAGTGGGTCCCCGCATATCCTGCAGCAGGACCCATCTCAGTGCTGAGCAGCCACAGTGCCCTGCCAGGGACGCACGCTGGGAGGGGGTAGGTGGCAAGCCAGTCACTGTGAAAGAAGGTAAAAGCAATAGGACCCGACAAGTCACAAAACTGATTCTTAACAAAACAGGAACAGAAGCAGCAGCTGGTGGCCCTGGGATGGTGAGGAGAGTTGCTGGAAGTGGTCATGGTACTCGCACAGTGGAGGTGACAACCAGGGCTTCCCCCCCGGGTGTCCTTTCCTGTCTCCTTGAGTGACACTGCAGGCGTCCAGCCCTTCCTGCCTTAGAGACCGGCCCTGGTTGGGGTCCGTCCCTGTGGTCTCTGGCCCTGAGCTGAGGCTGCAGGGAGGGGCTGGCCCCAGATCCTTCCCATTGGAGCGGGGAGCGGCTCTTCAGCCAGGCCAAAACTGCACTGCCCTGGTTAGCTTGCTCTCTTTAACTGGCCATTCAACCAGCATACTAAGAAAGCAAGCCACACGGAACTCAACCTTTGTTTTATAGTAGCTGACTGGTTTCTAAGGTTAGTGGGAGTCTTTGCTCCTTGAGGAATTTGTTCAAAATCAAACTCTTGCCCCCCACCTTGTGCTTCTACTCCATGAATGCCCAGTGACCCCGGGCAGAGATCTGGAGTGTGGATCTTGTTACTCCTCCACATCCACTCAGTCATCAGCTCTCACTGATTCTCCTTCAGAAAGTGCCCTGTGTCTGCTGGCTTCCCCCTGCCCACTGCAGCCAGCTTGCCAGGGCCGGTGGCCATCTAGAGTATGTCCTGCTTCCTGGAGGCAGAGTTGGCTGCTGCAGCTTTTGGCCAGCTGTGTAATTCGGGATTCCTCATGCTGGCTGGCTGGCCTTTCCCTCTGCGAAATGTTTTCCTAACTGTAAGGGAAACCTGGCAGCACATAGACTCAGAGAGGAGGTCAAATTAATAAGAAATGGACTGGTTTTGTGGGTACAGTTTCAGACTCTGCAGACTAGGCAGTGGGAGCAGGTGCAGTCGGTGGGGTGGCCAGGTGCCTTCCAGCTCCACAAGACCCCTGCAGCCAAATGCGCAGCTGTGGGTCTGGGCAGGCCTGCTTGTGTAGGAATCTGCATTCTGGGGGAGCCCCTCTGGCTGCCCAGCCTGCTGCCTGTGTGGCGGGGTGTGGATGCCGGAGCTGCTCAGTTCCAGCTCCCATAGCGTAGGTCTGGGTGTGTGGTTCTAGGCTTTTCCTTTTAGGAGCTTTGTTAGAAAGCAGGTTTCTCAGCACCCTCCCAGAACCCATTCTCCAAGAGACAGATTAAAACTTTTTTATTGGATAAATTTGACATGTCATATTGTATACATTTAAGGTATTTATTGTGTTACTTTTATACATTTATACATCGTTAACATGGTTGTCTTTGGGATGGTATTTATTACATTATATACTTATAATATTGTCTGTTCAATAAACTCTGTAATCAGTCTCTGTGGCTCATTTTGTACTGGTTACAAGCTTGACCCTTAAATGCTACCAGTGTTATCCCCCCAACCCCGCCCTCTGGTCCCTTGGTCACCACTATTTTGCTCTCTCTCTCTTTTTGAACGTTTGATTTCTTAGGTTCCTATGTGGTGTCCATTACTTTCCCTTGTCTTATCTCACTTACTATAATGTGCTCAGCCTCCATCCTTGTTGCAAATGGCAGGATATTCTCCTTTCTCATGGCTGAATAATATTCCATCATGTACATTTATCACATCTTTTTTATCCCTCCTCTGATGGGGGCATTTGGGTTGTTCCATATCTTGGCTGTTGTGAATAGTGCTTGATAAACACAGGACTGAGTGTGTCTCGTTGAAGTCCTGTTTTCATTTACTTTGGGTATATACCCAGAAGTAGGATTGCTGAGTCATATGGTAGGTCTATTTTAAAGTTTTTGAGGAACCCGCATACTGTTCTCCATAGTGGTTGGACTGATTTGCATTCCTGCCAACAGTGCCCGGGGCTCCCTTTCCCGCACCTCCTCCGGAGGAGCATCGCTGTCTCCTGTCTCCCTGATGACCTCCGTTCTAGCAGCAGAGAGGGTAGCTCATTGTAGTTTTGGCTTGTATTTCCCTGATGATTAGTGACATGGAGCATCTTCTCATGTGCCTGTTGCCCATTTCAATGACCTCTTTGGAAAAATGTCTGTTTAGTTCTTCTGGCCATTTTTAAACCAGATTATTTTTGTGTTTTAGATATTAAGCCCTTGTCTGATACATGGTTTGCAAAATTCTCCCATTCTGTAAGAGGCCTTCTCATTTTGTTCATGGTTTTTTTTGCTTTGCCAGCAGCTGTTGAGTTGGATATAACACCTTTGATGGTTTTTGCTTACTTCGTGCTTTTGGTGTCACCCAGAAGATCATGGCCACGACCAGTACTGACGCGCTTCCCCCTACATTTTCCTCTGGGAGTTTTGTGTTTTCAGATTTCCCATCTGTGATCCGTTTGATGTGGTCTTTGTGAGTGGCGTGATAGAGGGGCTCGAGTTCATCGTCCGGCAGTGTTGCCAGCATTGTGGCTTTAAGAGACTGTTCTTTTTTGTTCTTTGCTCCTGTTCTGGTTGAATATCAGTTGACCGTAGAAACAGATTTAAATTAAATGCTGGGAGTACTTATGAGGATGATTCCGCACTGAAGCGGTTTATTTTAAATTTGGCTCATGTGCTTTAGCTTGGTCTCTGTCAGGGCTTCTCAGATGTGGTGCTGTTGGCGTTTGGGGCCACATGGGCCTTGGCCTGGGGGGCTGTCTCATTCGTTGTAGGGTTGAGCGATGCTCCAGGTCTCGACCCACTGGATGCAAGTGGCAGCCCCCCCATTTGTGACAGCCAGAATGTCTCCTGTCCCCAATGTCTCCCAGGGACAAAGTTGCCCTTCTGTGAGAATCACTGGTCTATCCCCAGTGTCTGTCCCTGGATGCCCACTCTGCAGCCCCTTGGCATGTGCTTATGTGGGGTGCAGCCCCCAGCTGCAGGGCTTGGATGGTTTGGCAGAGAGGCTGAGATCCTGTCTAAGCCCCTGGTGCCCGTGTGGGAGCAGGGCCTGGAAACCTGCATCTCCGCAAGCCTCCTGGCTGTTCACGTCTGAGCCTGTGCGTGAGAACCACTGGCCCGGATTGTACACAGTCAAGCTCTGTCCTCATGGCATTCAGCCCTTGTCCTGAGTGCACTCTGGGACTTTTGACCCATAATGCTAACATAGACTATGACACTGGGATTCCAGTCTGCACAGGCAGCACCTGGAAGTGACCTTGGACTGGGGCTGGCATGATTCCCATGGGGGGCTGGAGAGCACATGCCTCAGGTCCTGCCGGCTGGGCCTCTGCAAACGCACCTCACTGCCTCCATGCGCAAAGGCAGCCCGGCCCACGGGGACGTGGATGGTGTCACAGAAGTGGGGCAGGTGGTACACAGCAGTCTGGCAGTTTCTCAGATGGCTAAGCACAGCATTAGTCACAACAGGCAAAAGATGGAAATGACCCAAGTGCCCATCGACAGGTGAATGGATGAGTGAAATGTGTGTGTTCATGCAGCAGAGTGGTAGTAAGCTGTAACAAGGGGTGGGTTTCAGGTATACGGTACAGCACGGATGCCCCTTGAACACATGACGCTGAGTGAGATAAGCCAGACACAGAAGGTCAAACACTGCAGGATTCCACTCACTCGAGGTCCCCAGGGCAGACACGTTCAGAGGGAGGGGAGTGGGGAAGAGGCAGTGGGGGAGGGCACATTGATCAATGGGCACAGTTGGTGTTGGGGGCGATGGAGAAGATTTGGGAGTAGATGTCACTGTGATCGCACAGTATTGTTGACTGTAGGTAACGCCTTTGAATCAGACACTGAGCAGTGAGAACTAGTATGTTACGTGTGTGTCACTACGTTTAAAAAGGGGTTCTTGGGCAGTAGTCTGCAGGCCCCGGCTTCAGGCTACCTCTCACTGATGTAGGGTGGGGCGGTCAGGAGTGGCCGGGCCAGCAGGGGGGTGGGGTGGGCTTAACAAAGGTGACTCAGGTTCTTTCGTGGATAATTTGTTACAGCTTGTAAACTTCTCTTCCCTCATCTCAGAGAGGGATCGTCAGCGGGGGCCTCCTCACCCTGTGACACCTGAGCGTGCGCTGGTTCAGAGATACCCGGGTCTGCAGAAAATAATGAGAATTTCTCTTTTCCTCACTTAGGATAAACTTGTGATGCATAAATGTGTTTGTGTAGCCATAGGACCAAAGACTTCAGAAAGCCCAGAGTTTAGTTATAGGACACTGAAGTGAGCTCTCTGCACATGCATGCATGCACATACTTGCACGTGTATGTGCTTTTTGGTGATTTCTCAGCCTTGTGGAGCTGGTTGCCGCTTGGCAGTGGTGCTTCGTGTTAGTGTCTAGGTGGCCACTGCGTGTTCCTCATGTCTTCATACTTTTTCAGGGAGCGTATGGAACTTTTGGAGGAAGCCAAGAAAATGGAGATGGCCAAGTTCCGGTATATTCTGCCTGTGTATGGCATATGCCAAGCGCCTGTTGGCCTGGTCATGGAATACATGGAGACGGGCTCGCTGGAGAAGCTGCTGGCCTCTGAGCCGTTGCCGTGGGATCTGCGCTTCCGCATCATCCACGAGACCGCAGTGGGCATGAACTTCCTGCACTGCATGGCCCCGCCGCTCCTTCACTTGGACCTCAAGCCTGCAAATATCCTGCTGGATGCCCACTATCATGTCAAGGTGGGGACTTGCATGGTGCCCCATGTGGGGGCCCGTGGCTGTTGTGGCAAGGACAGTGATGGCAGGGGGAATGGAATAAAGATGGGCATGGGGTGGAAGGGGGACTGTCCCTCTTGGAGGGAAGAACTGGAAGCAGAGGGCTTTCGTGGGAGAATTGGTCAGGTGGTCCCGGCTTGTAGTTGGTATAGACATCACAAAGCATGTAGCTGGGAAATGGACCTGAAGAGCATGGGTCACTCCCCAGATCCTGGAGCATGAGTCTGAATTGTGGGCACCCTGGATAAAGAGATTGTGGATTTGCACATTGGGGTCTTATCGGATGCCTTGTGAAATCAAGTTAGAAGTCAGACCGAGGATCAGCTGTCTCCGTGGAGTCCCCAGGCTCCATGGTTTGAGGCTGCATTTCCCCTCAGTGGTTTTAGGGGCTGGGGGCTGGGGGAGCATGGGGATGCTCTGAAACCAGGCTGCAGAGGGCTGTGGAAGAGCCTCTGAAGTGGAAGAGCCTCTTCCAGTAATGCAAGGCCTGAGTTCTGCCCCCCACCTGTCTTTGGGAGAGGTTTATGGAACACAGGGAAGTAACAACTAAAAACGAGGTACCGGCCCCCTGCAGTCGGCAGTCAGTGATGCCAGGTTTGTATTGCGCTGAGTATGTCTCCTTTGGAAGGCAGCAGCCTGGGTCTGCTGTCCACACCGTGGGGGCACATGGCATGAGGTTCTCCACAAGGTGCTGTTCACATGCTCGGGAGGCCCAGGGTTGTATGCTGACCCGTAAGACACACTTCCCTTTCCCTTCCATTTGGGAAGGCAGATTGGCGCATGAGTGAGTGAGAAGGTCCCCAGAGCAGTGGGCTGGGACACAGGCGGGGGTCATGCCACGTGCTCTGACACTGCTGTCCCAGGCTGCATTGTGCTCTCAGGACACCACCGCCCCCCGTGGCCTGAGGAGAAGGAGGGGCCTGAGTCCATTGTGGCCTGCCCCCCAGCTCTCTCAGGGCCTCTATTTCCTCACCCATGACAGTGACAAGTGGCCTGTACGTGGCTACCCCAGACTTTTCAGTGGGCACAGTGCTCCTGGCTGAGCCAGCCTGGGGCTGGTGGAGAAGTCGATTTCACTTTGGACAGTAATTCAAGTTGCCCCTTGAATAGGCATTTCTTAGTAGTAAGATTCTGGCAGGAAGATGGCAGTGCCCTCCTGCTAACGTGAAGCGGGGAATGGTTTGGTTTGAGTGGGATCCCTGGTGGCTCCCAGTGTCCCCTGGAGTCTGGGATTCCTGGGAGGCCTCTTTCCTTCTGGCTGCTCATGCTGGTTTCCCATGTGGACCCTGCACCACCCACTAGCATTAGACTTGTTTTAGGGAAGTGGGGTCCAGTGGGCATCACGTAACAGTGAGGCCTATCTCAAACTTGGATATGTACAAGAAAGGGGAGATAAGATAGTGACCAGTCCCTGCTGGGGCCAGGGCCCCACCCCCACTGCAGGAGCTGCCGGACCTTCCATGGGGGTGCAGAATGGGTAGTGGCCCCTGCCAGGCTGAGGCTCGGGTTAAGTCACCAGCTGGTGTTGCCCACTGTAGGTCATCAAGCAGGAGGGAGAACGGGTTCTGCGCCCCTGGAACCCTTGCTTTCCCCTGCAGCCTGCCGCTTTCTGTGAGGTACTCATGACCTGCATGTGGCACATGGAAGTCACACAAGGGCAGAGTGGGCAGCAGGGTTTAGGTGTCCAGGCACCATGGGGTGGGGATGGAGTTACTTCTGCAACTGCAACTTGGAGGTGAGGGTAGGATGGAGATTTAGGCCATCAGAGCATGTGGGGCCTCTCCTCCTGAGTGGCGTGGCGTCCTGGGGAGCCCAGCCCTCTGCCCCGGCTCTGCCCCTGGAGAACGGGCCACACCTGTGTGGTTGGAGGGCTTGTCCTGGCCTATGCAGGTGCTCAGGGAGGGTGGCGCTGTTGGAGCTGGTGTTTTTGTGGACAGGAGTCATCTTTTCCACAGTGGGGGTGTTGGCGTTCATCCAGGGATTGTCCCCAGTGCTGGGTCCACAGTAGGCATGTTGTACCTGCTCAGTAAGGTGGTGAGAGCTGTGCTCTGCCTGGTACACTGTAGGCTGCTTTCCTTGCTGTCTGTGCTGTGGCAGCTCATGAGCTTCCTCCCTTGAATACTTTTTTTTTCCTCTCTGTTATAAACCCCTACTTGGCAGGCCCGGTGCTTTGTAGCAGTTTTAGTAAGAGTTGGTGAAGATTCTTTTAAAAACCTAGCAGTGGGTAATAAGGAGCCTAGGGTGGCTGAGTAGGGAGTGGGGAAAAGCCTGCATGGACAGGTCCCGGCTGATAGGGAGCAGAGGGATCCCAGAGTGAACCGCAGCGCCTGGGCAGCTGGGGGCACCGGTCAGGGGCAGACCCACCCTGCTTCCCTGGCATGCTGCAGGGTCCTGCATGGCCACTTGTCTGCGGCCCCCTCTAGCAGAGTTAGTCTATGAGCCCCAGACAGGACGTATGTGCTTAGTAATCTGGGCATGCAGGGCAGTGGGGGCCTCTTTTGGGGTCCAAGTCGGCTGAGTGATTGGCCACAGGATTTCTGGGCAGTTTTCAGTCTGTGATTATTTGAAGCAATACAACAGTAATTTCAGAATCTTGAAATAAGATTGTAAATTGTCAGCCACATCCCTTCCCCCTGTGCCCCTGAAGGCTTCCTTTCTCAGCCTGGAGAGGACGATTGGGACGGGAAAGTCACACAGCAGCTGCCTACCTCCTTTGCAAAGCATGTTAAAGATACTCGTAAAATTAATACTTGGTATTCATGTTACATATACTAAGTATTAATATTAAAATACTAATTTTAACATTGGTACTAAACCCATGTCAAGTTGAAAGTGAAATAACCGCTTAAAATCTCAGGCTACCTCTGGCCCCCTTGCCCAGAGCAGACTGTTCAGAGGGTTTCCTGGGGTCCTGTTCTCCCGAGTTTGACATGGCCTTTCTCTCCGAGGCCGCACAGCCCTGGCCACCCCCTTCACTGGTCCCAGCCAGCCGGACCCGAGAGGGGTGGGATCGCGCCTCGGGGGAGCCGTGAGCTCTGAGCTCTGGGAGGTGCTGCAGCAGAGGCTGGGTGTGAAGGTTACGGCTCATCGGGGTTTCCATGGGGTCCCACTGTTGAGGAAGCGGGCAGTCAGGCCCTGGGTGGGAAGGGCTTGGGGAGCCACCTGAGAAGCCCTTGGGGCCCAGGCCATCAGAGAACTCTAGTTTCTCAGTTTGCATTTTGACTGCTGTTTTTTACATAGAATTTAAGGTTATTTTCTCTCACCAAGTATGTGTTGAAGTGGCTGGCTCTATCTGAAAGTAGCAGAAATAGAGAAAAAAGTCTACAAACGGGACACTGGGTGCCAAGACCCCTGCACCCCAGTCTGCCTTCATTTTGGAATGTAAAGTGTTCCAGCTGCCGAGTTTGGGCTGAAACTTTCCCCCTCCCCAGCGTGTTTCACGAGTTGCCGTGCTCTGCGCTTTCTCAGGCCTCGAGCTGCTTACAGGGGTCTGCACGGTCACGCTGATGGGTTTGCTCTGGGGAACTTGGGGTTTCCTTCCCAGAACGGGGAATTCCCTGAGGGTCGGAGGAAGGCAGCTGTCAGGAGCCCAGAAATGGCCAGGCTGGCCTCACTGGTGAGGACCTGGTGCAGCTGGCCGCAGGTGGGGCGGGTCCCGCCCTGCGGGCTTCCTTCCCGTCACCTCCCCGCAGGTGTGGTCAGAGATCACTGAAGGACCAAGTGATAAATCTCCCGTGTTTGGTGGCGATGACACCAGGCTGTTGGCCCATCTCGGCATGGTGAGCCCAGAGTGAAGGCCTGACTCAGCCTCATTTCCCGTCACTCTATGGGTGTGTTTGGGGAGGAACTGTAGAGGTAATTAGGCGGCTTAAAAAAAAAATCCATAAGCCTTGAAGGATAATACAAAAGGGTTGTTTTCCACGTGGATCCTGAGTCCTTAATGCCAGTGAGTGTGGCCCAAGACCACACAGCGCTGACGGGTGGGATTCACACCAGGAGGAGGGGAGCTGGGGAAGCTGGCCCCAGAGCCTGTGATGGCTTCACTCTCCCTGTGTGGAGTGAATGGCTTCAGGACCCCCTCAGGGCCTTTGTCCACAGGAAACGAGGAGGAGGTGGAGGTGTGGGGCTGCGGTGACCGGGTCCAGGCACGTATCAGACCTTTTGTTGGGGGGGGGGGGCAATGTGTCTGGTGAAGGAGCTGGCAAGTGTCTGCTGATGCCCAGACATTCCAGGTGGAGAACAGAATGCCCTGCCGTGGCTGTGCAGTGTTTTGTTTGATTTAAAGGGCTTCTGAAGATGCGTTTCCCTTAAAGAGCTTGCAGCCACTTGCCCGCCTCCCAGCTGGCTGATTGCAGAACCAGCTGCCCTAGCACCAGGCCTCGCTCTCTGCGTGTCACCTGAAAACTCCAGGGTTGCTTTTCCCTTTGTGCCGACTTGGGCAGTCAGCCACAGAGGCAGGTAGTGCCCGACAGCAAGAAGTGTCCAGTTCTGTCCTCGTGAATCCCTCTGTTCAAACGTCATCTGGTCCCTGTCCATCAGGCTCTTAGTGGCTTCAGACTTGGTTCTTCCTGAGCTGTTGGGCACCCCTGGCTGCTGGGGGCACACAGGTGGTGCCTCTGCCTGAACGCACCCATGCAGCGGCAGCAGGGGACCCCTGCAGTCTGACGGTGCAGAGGGCAGATGTTCACATACCCTGAGACTGCAGCCCGTGGCACCTCACTCGGCGGGGCACCAGCGAAGCCTAATGGCAGCCTGCCTGCTGTGTTACAGATCTCCGATTTTGGGCTGGCCAAGTGCAATGGGCTGTCCCACTCCCACGACCTCAGCATGGACGGCCTGTTCGGCACCATTGCCTACCTCCCTCCGGAGCGCATCCGGGAGAAGAGCCGGCTCTTTGACACCAAGCATGACGTGTACAGGTGTGTGATGGGGCTGCAGGCCCTGGCCCTGGGTGTGGGACCTCAGGTTCAGTCCACAGAAAAGGGTTTGGAGTTTTTGGCCCATGGGTGCAGGCTCCCTCAGGTGTACAGGCTTGCCTCTTGGGAGTGCTGCTGGCTGAGGACAAGAATGTGAAGGGTTGGGACCGTGAGAGCCGGTTGTATAACCAGATGGTGGCTCCTGCACTGGAAAAGCTTTGGTGTTCTTACCAAACGTGGGTTTCCTGGCTTACCTGCCGAAAGAGCCCATTGTGGCAAGGGGTCGTGTGTCTGTACATGTGTGGATTCGGGCTCCCCGAAATCCGTCCCCTCTGGCCTAGCAGCTCATGCTTCCTCACGTCACTTACCTTTGATAGAGGAGCACAGACATGCTAGAGACAGTCCACACCCAGCGTCCCTGGGATTTATGTACCAGGGACCAACCCCTGAGTCACTGGGTGCCTTTTCTTCTAAACTGTAAAAATCTTGAGCACTCAGACTTCCTGGAGAAGAAAAGAGGGAGGGAGGTGCAGGCAAGCACGTAAGCCCCTGTTTGTGGTCCTTGTCTTACACACGGTGACCCGGACCCCGAGCCCCAGAGCCTTCGAGCCCTGCCCTGTTATCGCCACCACCTGGAGTCCTGGCAGACTGGTTTGACAGTAACCACAGTGCCTGTGCTTAGCTGGGCTCGGAGCTCTTCATCTGTTAGGGAATGGCGCTCAGATGCCAGTCACAGCTTGTAGAGTCTGGGGAAAATAAGAGTCTCTGTTTTAGAACTGAGAGTTTCAACTTTTGAACTTGTAGATTTCAGTTAGTGTTCAATGGAGAATTCTTGCGTCTCTATTAACAGCGGCTACCAACTCAGTGCAGGGCGGTGGCTCAGAGTTAGGACTCCTGGTTTTGTTGTTTTTAAAAGATCATCAGACTAAGCTCTTTTTTTGGTGTATCCAGAGTAATTTTATGTATTACATAGATACACATGTAACTTCCAGTAACCCAGAAAGGGCTTTGGGAAGTCCCGCTTCTTGATTGCTTCCTGTTGTTTGTGCCCCATCTTCAATGGCCCCCCATAAAATCTCACAAAGTAACTGGCACCGGGCGGAGCTGTAGTCAGCAACTGGTTGCCCAGTGCTGCAAGATGGTGTTACAGGTGAATTAAGCACATGTGGGCCACAGCCCCCACGAGCTGGTGGCCTGGTGACAGAGTGGCCTTCCTTCCCGGGGATCTACCCTGCTCTTGGAACTTGGCAGGGGTGTGGTGTGTCTGCTGTTTAACCCCTCAGCTGTCGGCGTGGTGTGTTACAGTAACAGTGTCTGCCTGTTCAGAAAGTTCACGAGCAGCACCTAGGTGTCCTCTCTCTCATAGCCTCTGGAATGGCCTTCAGGCTTGTTGCTGTGGCTGGGAGCTTTTAACTTCATTTGAGGATCCGGCTCACAGACTAACCTGCTCCATTCCCTTCCAGCTTTGCCATTGTGCTCTGGGGTGTGCTTACACAGAAGAAACCATTTGCAGGTGAGTGTGTGTGTCTCTGGGGCTGTGCGTCCACTTGCCGGAACAGTGGGGGGCAGGCTTGGTGACCCTCTCCCTGCTGGAGCAGCACCCGTGCACCCCACTCCATGGTGGGGCTGCTCTGGGCCAGAAGGCCAGCGGGAGGCAGCTGGGGCTTCTCTGTCCTGCCCACAGGTCCTGTCCGCCGGGACACCTGAGGCCACCTCATCTCAGGCTTCCCTTTGTGCAGACAAAGCACTCTTATGGCATAAAGTACATGCAGAAAGCACAGATCTGAAAGTGTCTGTTTAGAAAGGATTTTTTTTTAAGGTGATAGCTAATTTTTTTGTGAGTGTGATATAATACTCATAACATAAATGTCATCAGTTTGTCCATTTAAGGTGTACAGTTCAGTGGTATTACGTGCATCCTCTGTGTTGCACAATCACCACCACTATCGAGTTGCAGAAAATTCTCACTGAGAAGGGACCCCCCCCATGCCTCCTGGTGGCTGCTAATCTGCTTTTTCTCTCTATGGATTTGCCTGTTGTGGATGTTTCTGGCTTATTCTTTCTTTGGGGCTTCTTAATGGTGACAAAATACACATAATGTAAAATTGACCACCTTAACTACTTTTAAGTGTGTGGTTCAGTTGTGTGGAGCATGTTCATGTTGCTGGGCAGCTGATGTTGAGTGGATTTGATGCAAAGCTGTGCCCCCAGGTCACACACCTGGCCGAGCCCTGTGGCATTTCTTCCCGCTTCCAGGCAACCGGTGTTCGATTCCTGTCCTCAGTGGTAATAAACTGACATACTGTAAAAATTGAGTAGACTTTATTTTTGTTGGAGAAATACTCTGTTTTCCTCTGTAGGCACATCTGGGCTACTCATGATATTTTGTGGTTTGACCAATAATACCTAAAAATGTAGAGCAGAGTCAGTGGGCGCCCCAGCTCTGGGAGTCCCATATCTGGTAAGGTGCAGACTTGGAGTGGGTGTGTGGAAAAGGGGGGTTGCAAGGCTCAGAATGTCCTGGGAACTTTCTTGTCCTGATGGAAAGGATGGGCTAATGTGTGTATGATTGTCTTTCTACCCATTTCCCTGTCTCTCTGCCTCCTCCTCCTCCTCCTCCCTGGAGATCCGCAGTCTGAACTCCTCTTAGTGTGGCAGGCATGATAGCTGTAGCACCTGGGCAGGTATCTGATAAAAATGTCAAGAACTGAGGCCACGTGCTTCATTGCTTGGATAATAGGGAAGTTCAAGGTGCAGGAGCAAAAGGCATTTAGCAACTTTTTCCATCCATTTTTGGCAGCAGAAAATCTTCCAGGTGCTTAGTGTAGTTTCTTCTTATTGAGAAGACCTGCTGGGATTTGGAAGTCTGAGTTATCATGGAAATAATGTGTAGATCCCTAAAACAGCTGATTCACAAGATTTAACAGGAACATGAAACACAACATAGGGTAGTGTCTAGGCAGCTGTCGTTGACTTTGGGCCAGTTTCCCACACACCTGCCGATGAACACCTGCTGCCTCTCCAGAGTTCCCTTGTCGTGGGCATGTCAGGAGCTGTGGTGGTGGTGGGTGGCTGTGGGGACGAGAGGCTCGGCGTCCAGCTGGATGGGCAGTGGGGTTTTAGCCTGAGCAGAGAAAAAAACCTGGCCCACTGAGGTTTCCGGTGGGCCCCTCGGTCAGTGACCAGGACAATGAGGATGAGTCTGTGCAAGCCTGGGGAGGGGTTGGAAGGAGGACAGATGGGGGGGCCCTGTGTCAGTCGCTTGGGAATGGACTTGAGAGGCCTGGCCGCCACCGCTGCAGCTGCCCCACGGCAGAGGCCACCCGGGCACCTGTGTTCTGGGGTAGGACTTGGCACTGGAATTCAGGAAGGCATTTCTGTCCTTGTAGGGAGTTTGGGTCTGTGGGGGCCGGACCCTGTGCCTCCACTGTCCCAGGTGCTACCCCCTCTTGGTGGGCGGGCCTCTTGGGAACATGTCTCAACAGTTATTTTTCTCCTTGACTTCTGTTTTCCTTTCAATTCAATGCCCAGAAAGATCTGCTCTGTGATGCACGGATTCCATTTTCTGCATCATAGGTGGTTTCCAGAGCCCAGAAAATCGGGAGCAGATGTGCAGGGAGGATAAGGAGTAAAGGCAGTGCCCAGGAGTGTGCGCTGAGAGTTCCCTCGCGCTCTCCGGCTCTGCGTGCAGGAGATAAGCAGCATGGCCGCCCGCTTGCACGCGGCCCTCACTCGTGTGCCTTCCCTTTGCAGACGAGAAGAACATCCTGCACATCATGGTGAAGGTGGTGAAGGGGCACCGCCCGGAGCTGCCGCCTGTCTGCAGAGCCCGGCCGCGCGCCTGCGGCAGCCTCGTACACCTCATGCAGCGGTGCTGGCACGGGGACCCCAGAGAGCGGCCCACCTTCCAGGGTGAGTGCCCTGGACAGGCATCCCCACCTCGGGCTCCCCTGACATCACTCCTGGTGTCACAGGGAGAGTTGGTAACCAGGATGGGGTTGGGGCGCAGGCCTGGGAGGGAAGACTGAGCAGAGACAGGTGCACCAAGGCGAGCCCTGCAGGAACAGAAGGGCTGCAGCACCTCCCCGGGGCCACCCAGCACTCGGGCTGGGACAGGGCAGCTGGAACTCGGAGGTCGCCTCCCGGTGCCCCCTCGGGGCTCAGGCCCTGGGCTGAGCGTGCTGCTGAGGAGCCCTCACTTGGTGTTCCAGGCCCAGATACAGGTGTGTGTCTTAGAGACTGTCATGACCTGAGGCTTTCTTTGCATTCCCCTTGGGTTCTGGTCCCCAGGAGCGGAGGTCTGGTCAGGACAGTGACTCTGATGACACTGGTCATTGCATCTGAGATGTGCCGGGAGACAGTGGGGCCTCACGCTGGGTGTAGGCCGCTTCGGCAGGTCGGGGCACGAGCGTGGTGGCCCTGGCAGGTGGGGCGCTCGCTGAGGGCGGTTTCTTTGGGAGCTGGGGCGCTGTGGCTGCCGCTTGGAGTCTGGCAGACCCTGTAGGTGGCTGTTGAGGGCAGGTGCAGGTCTGGCTCTTGTAGGGGCCCCGGGGCATGGGCTGTGGGCTCAGGGAGGGTGGAGCTGCCAGCAGCCGGCACATTGCAGTGCTGAATGAGTCCTGGGGGGCGTTGATGCTTTGTGGTGCCGCCTCTGTCCCTGCCTGAGGTCACACATTTTAAGTAGAGCGTATGTATGTGGAAGTCATTGTCTGAGTGATGTAGTGTTTTTGTTTTCTTTTTGTTTTCTCCACAAAAGAAATTACTTCCGAAACCGAGGACCTGTGTGAAAAACCCGATGAAGAGGTGAAGGAGACGACGGCCCATGATGTAGATGTGAGGAGTCCGCCGCAGCCCAGGAGCCAGGTGAGGGGGGCCGCCTCAGGTGCAGTGTGTTGACCGCTGGGTGGAGTTCTCCAGCTCCAAGCCTGTGTCCTCTGCTACCCCCACACCCCCTGCTCCAGACATTGGCCCGACGTCTAAGCCCCTCCTGGGCCAGCCCTCCTGATGCTTGCCGCTGTAGCTCAGTAGCAGGAGGGCAGGTTGGCCCTGGATTCATTCCTGCCCGACTTCATCACATCCCCACCTCCTCCCTGTGGTTAAGAATGAGCAGAGTGGGCCCACACTTGACACTGATGAGCTGCTGGCCGGGTGCCCTCTGAACTAGGGCACCACTTGGGGGGCTCTGGTGGTCTGGACGTCTTTGCTCCCTGGCTTGGAGACCTGGCCACTTGCTGACTGCTCATCTCGTAAGTGATTTGTTTTATGAGTGTTGTGCAGGTTATGTAAGATGGGATAAGAAATTCCAAATGCTAGGGCTCGCTCGGTGTGAAGGCAGTGAGACCATAGCAGGCTTGTAAAGCGAAGCCTGATAAACTGACTAGATAATGTGTTACCTGGTGTTGCACAATTCATCCCAGGCCAGCAGTGAGAGGCTGGGGTACGAGGCTGGGAGATAAGCGAATGTTTATGGCCTGCCCACTGCTGAACATAAAGGGGCGTGCGGGTCAGGTTGGGGAGAAGAGGTGCCAGGGCAGGCCACTGGGCCCCTGATAAGGGAAGAAAAGCACCCAACACGTGGGTGTGACTTGGGGCCCAGGTCACCAAGTCTGAGCAGATCAGTTTCCGAGGAGGCGAGGATTGGGGGACACGTGGGAGTGAACTGGGAAGGTCGTGAATGACCCTCAGATTCTAAGCGCTCGCCAGAAAGGTGCCTTTCTTGTAGCTGCCAGTGAGACCCTTTGAGAGGCTGTCAGGACACGTTGTGTGGAAGCCGTGTTGTCCCTGCGGCTGGGCCCTGCCCATCACCTGGGTGCCACATGCAGGTCCCAGAGGAGGCTCAGAAACAGGTGTCAGGGTGCTAGCATTGTGGGGGTCCCAGCACAGCTCTGCCTGCTCTTTTTTTTTTTTAACAGTGCCGACCTGCTCTGGGCGGGCGCAGCCGGCACCCAGGTCTCAGCTACTCTTGTTCTGCTTCCCATGTTTATCAGGTCACTCTTGCCTCACAGTGCCTTCTGCTGGTGGGCCCGGGCGGTGTCTGGGCTCCTGGGGCCGTGCATGCGGTAACAGGTCAAGTTCCCTGTGTGGCCTGCTGGGGACCCCCGTGGGCCCCCCTTCCTCGGCCCTCCTCGTGTGCCGCGGGTGGCCTCATCCACCTCCCTCTGGCTTTGCAGGCCCCTGTGTCCACACCTCTGAAACGAGCCTCCGCCCCAACCTTTGATAACGACTACAGCCTCTCGGAGCTGTTGTCTCAGCTGGACTCGGGCATCTCGCAGACTCTCGAGGGCCCTGAAGAGTTCAGCCGCAGCTCCTCCGAGTCCAGGCTTCCGTCGACAGGCAGCGGCAAGCGGCTGTCGGGGGTGTCTTCAGTGGACTCTGCCTTCTCCTCCAGGGGATCTCTGTCCCTGTCCTTTGAGCGGGAGCCTTCCACGGGAGGTACGTGAGGACCCTGTGCCCTGGGAGTCACTGAGCGGAATGGTGGGCTGGGGCTGGCAGTGTGGGGGTCCACGAGCCACTAGCAGGAATTGCACCAGCTGGCCGTGTGGGAGTCCACGTGCCACCAGCAGGAATCGCACCAGGGTTCTCAACTGGACAATGGCTCTTTGTTTTCTCTGTGCCTTAGCGAGCTGATCTCGGGTGCGGTTTCGGTAGAGCTCTCTGAGCAGAGCGGGTACTCACTGCCCACTGAACACAGAGTCGAGCAGCTCCATGGGCTGTCACTTTGTGTGAGGGGACTGGGCCATGAACCCTGCTGTGCAGGAGGTTCTTGACGTCAGGTGTGGGGTCTGACCTCAGGGTTGCAGATTGAGAACCCCGAATTCTCAACTGAGTCCAGTGGATGGATTGAACCCCAGACCTATAGAGGCAGCCTGTACCCCCCTTCTCCAGTCATGCAGGGAAGGCACCCCCATGCTTTCTGATTCTTGAGCTCCCTGTTTGCTGTAGCCGTGCACTGTAGTGGTAAGTCTCCCTCGGAGGTGTGTAGGCCTGTCAGGGCAGGGCCCCATGGAGCCCGTCTGATCTTTCTGGGGTAGCTGTGGCGGTTTGCTCATTAGAAGGCACTTCCCTCCCCTGCACCTGCTCCACAGGCTGGTCCTTGGGCATGGGGCTGGTGCTGTCCAGGTGCTGCGGCCCATGAACCAAGGACGGTGGCCTGACTCAGGGCTGTGGCCATGCAGGGTGGCCCCAGGCGTGGGAAGGGTGCAGACCCCAGCAGGAGGGAAAGTTCATTTTTCCTGGCCGATTGGGGGATTCCTTCTGGCAGGGACTACTTTTCCTGGACACTGTGGATTTTTAGAGTGGCATATTTGGAGCAAAAGAAGGTATTTTGATTTGAGAAAATGTCCTGAGCAAGACACAGGAGAGGAAGGCCCAGCTGGACAACTTGATCAGGGTCAGCAGTGGTCGAAAAGAAAGAGATGCCCTGTCTGCCATGGAGTATATATGTTGTAGAAATTTCTCTCTGGGTCTCGTACTCTCAGATATCTTGTCTCTGCTTGGAGAGGATCTGTTGCTGGCCCCACTCAGGAGCCAGTGTTAAAGCGCTAAGACTGGGCTGATTCCAGTGTCTTATGTCTGCCCCTCCCCCCACCCCCACCCGCTGTGGAGGCCCCTTCGAGTTCTGTGTGAACAGAGAGAGTTGTTCCCTGTGAACCAGAGCCCCAGACAATGTGCTGGATTTTTCTGTTAAGCAGCACCTTTCATCCTGAATGACAGTCCCCCTGAAATGGGAGATTCAGTCCTTTGAGGGTGACCACAGAAAATGCCCTTTGTGATGAGACAGGAGATGCCACCAGGAGGCTGGCTGGGAGCAGGCCGGTGGGCCCTGGGCTGTCCTTGGAGGGGAGCGCGCTCAGCTCCCAGGTACACTGGGGGCTCCTGTCCAGTCTGTGTCATCTGGTCTTTTCCGTCTGCCCCCCTTGAAGGAATGGTAGTGGTCCCTGCCGTTTCTGAGCACTGCCGGCGGCTCTGAGTTTTACACCCTTTATCTAATCACGATGCTACAGGACAGCCAGAATGACTTTCTTTTTGCAAACGGGTAAGATCACCTTGGTATACTCCCAGGTCTCCCACTTGACCTAAAATTAAGTGAAGTAACACCAACCACATGTAAGCAGTTTAAGGGAAATAGCTTCCTTGAGGCCAGTGGGGAGGCGTAGGCCACATTACAACACCAGCCAGGCCTCAGAGAAGCTGGGGCCCATGGACAGGCGGCCTCAGGCTGACCCTGGATCTGTTTTCCCTGTAGATCTTGGCACCACTGACGTCCAGAAGAAGAAACTTGTGGATGCTGTGGTGACCGGGGACACCAGCAGGCTGATGAAGATCCTGCAGCCCCAGGACGTCGACCTGGTCTTGGATGGCGGCGCCAGTCTACTGCACCTGGCTGTGGAGGCCGGGCAGGAGGAGTGTGTCAAGTGGCTTCTCCTCAACAACGCCAACCCCAACCTGACCAACAAGAAGGGCTCCACCCCGCTCCATGTGGCCGTGGAGAAGCGGGTGCGTGGTGTTGTGGAGCTCCTGCTGGCCCGGAAGATCAGTGTCAATGCCGCGGATGAGGACCAGTGGACGGCCCTCCACTTTGCGGCCCAGAACGGGGACGAGTGTAGCACGCGGCTGCTGCTGGAGAAGAATGCCTCCATCAATGAGGTGGACTGCGAGGGCCGCACGCCCATGCACGTGGCCTGCCAGCATGGGCAGGAAAGCATCGTGCGCATCTTGCTGCGCAGAGGTGTCGACGGGGGACTGCAGGGGAAGGATGCCTGGGGGCCGCTGCACTACGCCGCCTGGCAGGGCCACCTGCCCATCGTCAAGCTGCTGGCGAAACAGCCAGGGGTGAGTGTGAACGCCCAGACGTTGGATGGGAGGACGCCCCTGCACCTAGCCGCCCAGCGAGGGCACTACCGTGTGGCCCGCATCCTCATCGACTTGCAGTCTGATGTCAACCTCTGCAGCCTGCTCTCGCAGACGCCCCTGCATGTCGCCGCAGAGACGGGGCACACGAGCACCACCAGGCTGCTCCTGCATCGGGGTGCCAGCATGGAGGCAGTGACTTCGGAGGGCTGCACTGCCCTGCACCTGGCTTCCCGGAATGGGCACCTGGCAACTGTCAAGCTGCTCGTGGAGGCGAAGGCCGATGTGCTGGCCCGGGGGCCCCGGAACCAGACAGCGCTGCACCTGGCTGCCTCCGGTGGGCACTCAGATGTCGTTGAGGAGCTGGTGAGTGCTGACATGCTCAACTTGTCCGATGAGCAGGGCCTCAGCGCGCTGCACTTGGCCGCCCAGGGCCGGCATGCCAGGACCGTGGAGACACTGCTTAAACACGGGGCCCATGTCAACCTGCAGAGTCTCAAGTTCCAGGGTGGCCACAGCCCAGCTGCCATGCTGCTCCGGCGGAGCAAGACCTAGCCTGCTGCCTATGGAGACCGGGGCCCCACACAGGGTTCTCGTCCCATTGTGTTCTGCTGTGGGGATGAAACGATGCTGAGCTGGTCAGTATCGCTCGCCTTGTCAGTGGCCTGGCGGGCATTGACCAAGCAGGCCCCAAAGAGGCAGGTGGCTGCTGACTCTTGATCCGTGCTGGGCATCTGCTTATGTGTTACCCTCCGAGTGAAGTTGGTTATTAGAACGTGCTTGGCTGCCAGCCCACCTTTCCCTCCGTGCCTGGTGTCGGGTAATGTGTTGGAATCATTTCGCTGTGGTCCTTGCTCCTGCTGTGGGTGCCTCTCTCAGCACAAGGTGGCCCCCGAGCTTCGGCGGGATTGGGTCCGCCCTGTCATGAGCCAAGCCACGTGTGACTGTGTGCAGCGCACCAGCCTGGAGCAGCCGGTGTGGGAGGAGGTGTGATTCTTACTCGTGGGCAGTGGCAGGCAAAGCAGCCTGTTTCAGAAAGTTGTAGTGGAATTCTTGTTTTATAGAATATCTTTGATAGATGAACACAATATCAGCTGTTGCTTTAAGCCTGTTAATGTTCATATCTTTGGAGAGGCTAGTCTGAGGAATGAGTATATAAAGTAATAGGGTTGGTTTTGGAAAACAGTTATCCTAGCAGCTCTTTCATGTCCAAATATGTTTGTCCTGCCAGCAGTCCTCATGGCAGCGACACACGTCTCCTGACTGCTGCATGATCTCGTTAATTTCTTTTTGCATAAAATATTTTGTGAGGTCTAGAGCCAAATGTGTGAAAGTCATTAAGGAATTCATACGTGATAACCTCAGCTGTGGGCTGAAACCAGGGTCGCCTAGCTGATGAACCCCCTTACCCCTGGTTTCTCCCAGCTCTGGGCTGCGGTAAGGTGTGTGTGTGTGCTGCTGTTTGGGCCTCAGGTGTTCTGACCCACTTTACAAACAGCTGTGCTGGGCAGGAGCCTTGGTGATTGAGGTGTGACCCCGAGGTGGCTCTCGGAGACAGCTGCACACTTGGGTATGAAAAACTTTATTTTGTAACCCAATTCCCTTGTTGTTGTGTGTCCCGTGTGGCACTCCCTGAGTGTGTTAGAGAATGCTGCAGGGCGTGAGCTTGCACATGCCCTGTAGCCCGGTGTATAATACAGAGATTGATATTAATGTACCGTGTATGTTAATGTGAATCTGTGGGCAGGAAATACCCAGACTGCTTAGAACTGGCTATGTTTTAATATGCCTCGTGCTTTTACTATGTTATGCTATTGTTGTATAGAATGTGTGGAGGATGGAAAGTTCTGTTTGATGTCAATAAAGCTAAGTACTCTTTTTTTTTTGCATCAGATTCCACTTTTTCTTATAAAAACGAGCTCAAATCTAATTTCTGGAAACTAGAGCTGGGAGGCAGTTTTGTGGTGTGGAGATGCCTTCCAGATGGCAGCCCAGGGGTGCTGAATTAACCTGTGACCTGGGGGGGATGAAGGGAGTGGAAGGGTGGCCCTGGGCTTCCTGCCTCAGCCCAGGCCTTTGCACATGTGTGAGCCAGCGGGGAGATGTCTTGGTGGAGGGAGCTCCCCACTCCAAAGTTTGTATGTCTTTCTCAGTGTGTAACTCTCATTGTTAAGTTTACATTTTAAAATAATTTCAAATTACAGAAGTTCCAACAATAGTGTAAAGAACTCTGGTGTACCTGTGATCTAGATTTCCCATTTGCTTATGTTTATCTTGTTAGCTTGGTCATTCTCTTTTCTTCCTCATCTACTGCATATCCACCCATCCAGCCATCCACCTGCCCACCCATCTACCCAGCTGTCCATCCATCCACCCACCCACCCATCCACCCATCTTCCCAGCCAGCCAGCCATCTGCCTGGCTTTCCACCCATATGTCTGAGCGGTTTGCAGACAATGTGCCCCAGGCCCCTAAGTACTTCAGTGTGTAATTCCTAAAAGCAAGGACTTAATCCTGTATAGCCCCAGTGTACCCACTGAAATCAGGAGGTCACTGTTAATATGATACTGCCACCTAATCCACAAGTCCTTTTCAAATTTTGTTGATTGTCTCAAAAATGTCCTTTATAAGAAAAACAGCCAACAGCAGCAAGAAGCAACTCGTCCGTGTCTGCTTCCGGCCCAGGACCTGCCATGTTCAATTGTCCTGACTTTTGGGCCCTCAGTCCTGTGCTCCTCAGCCTTGACTTCCATGACCTTGCTTTTCGTGAGCCAGTTATTTTGCAGCATGTCCTCAGTAGAGGTTTGTTTTAATTCTCGGGATTTGATTTAGTATTCCTGACAGAAATACCACAGACGTGATACTGTGTATTAAGTATAGCTTTCCCTTCCCTCTTTTTAATTCTTTATTTCTATCCGTGTGCAGTCACAGGTTCCTATTTAATCAATGGGTTCTTCTCCATTATCAAGTATTTTGATGATCAAATTACCCTGTCTGGCCAGTTTGAGTGCCCTCCCACTGGCTCTTCTTTCCCTTTGATGGATGCCTGTCACTCTTGAGTACTTCCTTGCTTCCTGACACATGAGAGTCCCTGGCTCATCTTGCACTTGCACACCCCAGCCTCAGAGGCAGCCATTTCTCCAAGGAAACCAGTTTCTTTTAGTGGAGAACGGTATTTAGAAACCAGCAACTGGGTGTTAGATGTGCTCATTGTTCCTGAGGTGTCGGTGGCTCAGCAGACAGATCTAGGGTTTGAGGGTGGGTGTGACTTACGTGTATCTACACTACACATATCTCCATCTCAAGAACCATGATTTCACACCAGTGCCTTCAATTACTGTCCAACACCCCAGGGTTTATTCTAGTTCATTCATAGTGGTATCTGCTTCCTCTGATAGGTTGGTCCCCATCATCCTCAGTGTGTGCACATTTTCTCAGTCCTTGTGTGTGTAAAAGATCTTCCTGCTCGCTCTGTGCCCCCACAGGCTGAGCCAGCCAGGCTCCTCCCAGCCTTGTGTGCAGCGGTGTGCCAGCTGAGTTTTTTGGCCCCACAGAATGACAATTCCTTTTAAGAGCCTTTTATGCCAGGAGTTGAACTTTTGAACTTTTTCTTACTAAGACTTTGCCACTTGACCTTTCCCCTCTTGGTTCCACACATCATTTCCCTTCCTGTCCTGAGAGAGTGATCATCAAACATTATACTTTTCCTTCCTCACTCCCCAGAAAACAGGTAACTTTTCCTTTTTCCTCTGATCCCTGATCCATGTCTTTTCTTTCAGGAGCATCTAATGGTTTGAGGGCTGCCAAACTTTTCCCTTAGACATTCCATCTTAGGAAAAAACTGCCCTGCTGTTCCTGGGAGGAAACAGAAGTGAATCCTTAGCCTTGGATGCTGTGCTGTTGCTCTAGGGCTGAGGGCACCTTAGGACTCCCCAGTGAGTCCGTCCTGGGCCTTAGCCCTGAGCAGGGTCAGAGAGGCGTGCCGGCTTTTCTTCGACAGCTCTGAGACACGGAGATGATTGATGCTGGAAGAGAAGTTCTCCCCGGCCGGAGCAGGCACAGGGCAACCCCCTTAGGCCCTGACACCCGGGTTCATAGGCTCCTGCTTACAGCAGCCTGGGGTGAGATCATTACCAGGGGGATGGGGCACCAAATATTCCCTTTTGCTGACCAGGTTGGGGACCACCTGGCAAGTAGTGAAACTAAGGACTCAGACTCGGCCTCTGATTCACACACCGCACAGCTGGGCAAGGAGAACGTGAGTCCCCTTAGCCTGTCTTAATGCCTGTCTCTCCTTGCCTGAAGCCAGAGTGTAGGCCACCTGACCACAAATGGCATGCCCCTCAGGTTCCACTGTTTCAAGACTCCGTTCTGCAAATCTTAGGAAAATCTGGGCCCCGGTGCAGGGTCTTTGTGAAGTCCTTGCTGGGCAGGGGTCCACAGCCAGTCAGCCTCCTGGCGCTCTCACCATGGACATGGCTGGTGGCACATGCACCTGTACACCTGAGGGCTTCCTCAGTAAACAACTAGATGACCACTGAACTCCACTAGCTGAGCTGATTAGCCAAGAGTTGCCACCTCCTTCCAGGTCACTGGAGCTGATTCCAGTTCTGCAGGGCCTTCCTTTGCTGGAGGCATTTCACTGTACTGAGCATTAGCTGTTCATTGCAAGAGTGGGTGTGGTGGACACTGTTATTACAGCCTCCTGTTGACATGGCAGCAGAAGGGAGCAGGTGTTCGCAGAAGCTGACATTCATAGGAGAGAGAATCCTTGCCCCTAAGCCTGTACTTTGGTGGCCAAGTTCTTGAAAATGTAGACTCCTGACCCTGGGCAAGTTCGCTTTCCATTCACCTTCCCTCCCTTGCCTTCCTATCTTCTCCCTCAGTGAAGGCCCAAACCACATGTGGAGTGAGGAAAAGGGGTCATCTCCAGTCACTGAGCTCTGCCTGGAAGAAGAGGCAAAGAACTATGGTCCCCACAGAATCATTGTCCCTCACAGAGCCAGGGTCCCTGCCAGGGAGAGTGGGGGTGCCCCAGCATTCCTAACTCAAGTGCGACCTAAGGGACAGCCCACCTAAATGAAGGGACAAAGCCACCAAATAATGGAGAAAGGCTTGTAGGAACAATCCCCTTGCTCAGGTGATTGCCTTTGCCAGTTTGGGAGGGAAAGAACATTCCAGAGCCTTCCAGGTAACTGCTGGGGCCACAGTGATAAAAGGGTTAACAAAGCCTTTTTATAAGGTGCCTCCCTGGCCAATGGCAAGTGCTAAAACCTATATTGAAAATGTGCTGAAAGAAACAAGCTCAAATTTTAAAAAATATGTTGAGTGTTGGCTCAGGAAGAGAAAAACACGCGGCAGGAATAAGCAGGCTGCAGGACAGGAAATCCTCTGCTTCGCGTTTCACGTGTGGGAGGACACGCGGCTAAAAGAGTATGTGCATGGTTGTATGTGACTCTTCAGAAAGTCTCTCCAAAGTGCAGATGGCGCTGCCCCAGACAGTGGGGATCCTGGGTGCTGGGCGACCCCCACCTTTTATGTGACAAGTCTGGGTCAGATGCCACCACTTCAAGTTTCATCAAGCCTCGGTCCCTCTGTGGCAACCAAAAGGAATGAGGTCTCCCTGCCATGTCCGCCTCCTCGTGTCACTGCCTGGACCGGCTGTGCCACCAGAAAAACGAGCCCTGGGTGGGGTGGCACCTGGCGGGGCCCTGGGTGGTGTTGGGGGAGAAAGCTGATCATAGGGTAGCAGCTGCCTCCTCTGTGGGCTGGGGCCCAGGCCCTCCTTGTGCTCTTCCTTGGGGCTCGTGGGGGGAGAGGCTGGGCACAGTGAAGCCCAGCCTATCACCCAGGGCCAGCCGGCTGCCTGGAGGGGAGCGCTCTCCAGTCCTGGCTGCCTCTTTGTTCCCCAGGGACACAGCCAGCCCCAGGGGCCCTACTCTGTGAGGACTGCCCTATGGGGCCCAGGAGGGCATATGGCATTGTGAGACCCTGTTTCTGCCATCAGGTGGTGACAGTTTCCGTGGGGAGAGCAGAGAGCAAATAGTGTCGGATGGTACCAAGCTGCCGAGGACGGTGTGGCCTGGCCATGTACCCCACCCCAGGGCTCTGTGAGCTCCAGACAGGAGGCGAGCCTCTAGAGGGCCCCCTGGGAGCTGGCCTGAGCTTGTCTTCCCAGGGCGGCGGGAAGGGGGGACTCAGCAGGAGGAAGTTAGGGCGAGTCTATGTACTCAGAAGTGACAGCAGTGTCAGCCCCAGCCCGCCAGCCCCTCCCCCCTCTGTAGCTCCTGGCGCCTCTAGCTCAGAGATTTGCCTGCAGCCCTGACTGTCCGAGGGTCCCCACCCGTCATGCTGCAGAGACACTCACCCTTTGAATGCCCCACCCCTGTGTCCAACACAGGGTGTCCAAACATCCGTTCCTAACTCCTGTCTGGAAGGCAAACAACAGGCCCACTGGACACAAAGACAAACCAACTCAACCAGCGGGGGAAAGTCCAGAGGAACCGAGTAAGGACCAGGAGGAAACTTTTACACATCTACAATTATTCCAGAGAGAAAAAGGAGATTTCAAAGAAATGTAAAGCAGAACAGGAGCGGGTGTGTGTGTGTAAACATTGGGAGAACAGAAATTGAAAAATTTTAGTGGGATAAGAGAAATCAAACTCTTAAAAGAAGGGAAGAAGCTTAAAATAATTCCAGGGGGTCCAACATCACAGTGATAGGAGTCCCAGAAACAGAGAAAGAAGGGCCCCCCCAGACTGAAGGATGCACATCTCATCCAGAGTAGGTCCCCGGGTGCGTGGAGTGATGACTGGCAGGGCAGCTGTCCAAGGAGCAGCCGGGCCAGCCCCAGCCCACCAGCAACCTGAAAGCCTCCAGAGGTCTTAGGGGACTCTAATCAGGTGGCATCCAACCTCTAGACAACAACAGGCAGGTAAGTAGGAGACAAGGAACACACCTTCTTCATTCAGAAGGTGATTTTCAGTCTAGAACCTTCAAATTTTCTCATTTCTCATTTTCAACATTTCTCAACTTCCTGTTCATCTTTTCGTCTTTCTATCTCCCTGTGCTACATTGTGCACAGCTGACCCCTAAGCAGGGGGTGTTCTTTCCAGTTGCTGAGTGGAGCTGGTGTTGGGACGATGAGGCTGCATCTCATATGTAGCCAAACTATCCCTTGAGATCTTTATTTCACTCATTGTATTTTCCATTTTTGGAAGTCCTGCTTTATTCCTTCCCAAGCTGCCTGGTTTTCAGTAGTGTCTTATGTTCAACCCCTTATTTTCCGTCTGTAATAATTTTAAATATGTTTGTTTCAAGCCATTATCTCCTGAGGTTCTTAGGACTCCCATTTCTCTGTTTACTGGGTCTGCTGGTGGGTCGTGTCCTTGCATTTTATGGTTTGGGATTGTGAGCTCATTTTCGTCAGGGCTCTACCTGTGGGAATCTTTTGTGCCTGGGCTGAGGATCCGTCCTTACTGAGAGAGTTTGTGTTGGTATGACTGGCCGTTGTATTGCCAGCCTGTCGTCACTTTTATGCCAGTTTCAGGGCTCTGAAGGGGACAGGCCCGTCACTACAAGGGGGATTTTTTTCTCACCCATGGCTTAGGCTGAGATAGACATGCTTTCAGGTCTTCTCCCTTTGCTGGGAGGTGGCTACATTCCCTTGTGGGGGCCCTTCAAGGGTATCACTTATATAGCCAACCTGCCTTGGGCCGCCACCTTCTGTCCCTGGGATATCCAACCCATGCGTCCCTGGTGATGAGACAGGTGTGCTCTCACTGAAGCAGCTGTGTTCAGCATGCTGTTCTTCACATCTCTCTTCTATTTTGGCCCCTGGAGATTTCATTCCCTTTCTTGTATGTTTAGCTAGTCATCTAAAAGGATTCTCACAACTTATGCCCCCTTCCTAGCTATGAAGCAGGAAAGTCTTCCTTTTGGTCCCCACAGGCATGGTGTGGGTCTCTTCATCTTGATGCTCATGATGCATAAGCGGTGCGGTTTGATTTCGCTGTAAGTGATGATGTAGGTGCTCTGGGTAGCCCTGGGTGTGGCCGGGTTGTTGTGAATGAGCTACATACTCATCTTCCACAGTCGGAAACGAGTACCCAAGACATCCAACAGAAAAGGTGTCAGCATGTAACAGATGAACACAAGGAGAAAGGGCTGCCTGGCTGCACTGGGCTGCCCATGGGTGGGAGCTGGACAGGGGGCTGGGCAAGCTGTGGGCAGGGGATGGCCGTATTGTTTTCTTGCCATGGGCTTTCGACTTTTACACTGCGTCGTCTTACTGATCCGATAAAACACAAACTGACGTGAAAGAGCCTGCAAACGCTGCCTACACTTGTTTGCTGATGGGAGGGTCCCCGGAGCAAGCAGGAGGGCAGGCGCCGTGGTGGGGGCCCTTCTCCCTGAGGGATCCTGAATGGCAGAAATCAAGGGAATCAGCTTCCACTCTTTAGGGCAGCTGCCTTGAGTTTTAACATCAATTCAGCAAACACCTTCAGCGTCACCTGCTGCCAGTGGCCGGGCTAGGAGTGGAGGAGCTCACAGCTTCCAGACGGCAGAGGGAAGACGTGCCTAAGCGATGTCCCAGTTGGTATACCACCTGGTTGGACCCAAACGCCTGCCTCACTGACTTAGAGCCAGTCAGTTGACTATGCAGTCAGTGCACATCGGGTTCAGCTCTCCAAGCAAAGAAACCTCCAAGCCTCACACGGCTTCCTGGGAAGGCAGCATTACTGGGGAAATTTCCTCTCATGCCTGTAACTGCAAGTGGGAATAACCCGTGTTTATTTGATGCTAAGTGACTGGGTGGGGCTCCCCATGAGCCTGCTCCTCCTGCTCCCTCTCCTTGGCCCAGGCTCTGGATTAGCCTTCCAAAGAAGCAAGGTCTTTGCCTCTGAATGTGGGGAGCTTGCGCCTTGATCTCGTGCTGAGACCCTCGCCAGGTTTCCTGTTGTGCGGGCAAACCCCACTATTGCATGGTGGGCAGTCAGGTGATTGGGCCCCTCCTCTGATGACACCGCCTGCGGTCTGGCCTGCTGTGTGTTGCCCAACCTGCTAAGGTGAGTGGAGCTAAGGCACCTCACTGCCTTCCACAGGGGCCTTGGTAACATGACGGCAGCCTTTCCTGGGAGCATGCGTGGTACACGGCTGGGAGACCTCGGTCCCAGGCCTGGCCCTGCTGTTCCTGACCCGTGTGCCCTTTGGTCAAGTTGTGATGTCTGGAAACCGAGGGGTCCAGAGTCTTGTGAGCTATAAAAAACTGTTGGTGGTTACACTCAAAAGAATGGCAAGTAAGGGCTCAAACAGGTGCATGCACACCATGCTCATGGGGGCACTGTTCACAGCAGCCCGACAGGGGACCAACCTAAGTGCCCATCAGCATAAAAATGGAAAATAAAACATGGTCCATCGCACAATAGAATACTATTAAGCTATAAAAAGGATGAACCCCCAAGCATTACGCTCAGTGTGGGGTAGCAGACACAAAGGGCCACATGTTGTAGGATTCCATGTCCACAAAATATCCAGAACAGGGAAACCCACAAGGTAGACTGGTAGTGCCAGGGCTGTGGGAGGTGGGATGGGGGGAGACTGGGGATGGGGGGAGACTGCTGATGGGCTGAGGGTGTCACTTTGGAGGGATGGGAATGTGGTGTGAGACAGAGGCGGTAGCTGCACATTGCAAATGTGCCAAATGCCTCTGATGGATCACTGTAAACTGGCTGATTTTATCTCGTGTGCCTGTCACCTCAGTGAGTTAAAAACAGTATTGGCTCCTCCACAGAAGCAAGTTCTGCAACTGCCAGTACCCTAAGGAACAGGAGCAGATGTACCTGTTCCCTCAGACAGAGGTGGGCGGCGATGAGGCTCAGCCCCGGAACCGAGCCCAGTGCCCCATTTCTTATGTGGACTTTTGCCTTATTCTATGATTCGCCCAGTTGCCTTTATGGTTCTTAAAGTCGTGGAACACAGGTGTGCAGCGTGAAGACGTCATTTGCTCACTTACCCACTCACTGGTTCGTTTTTGTCATTTGATAGGTGTACAGTGTACAGGGCTGCATTCCTGCCATTCCTGTCCTCCTCCTTACAAAGGGCAGTGTCACCCAGCCCACTGTCCTCCATCCCTCCATTCACTTTCCCGAGGATGTGGGGTGAAGGAGGGAGCCAGCCTCCAGGGGAGTGACAGGGAGGGTGCCGGAGGCCCCCAGCCTGGGGAGCCAGCCCCGTGTGGCCGCTGGAGGTCTTGGAACCTTGCTGGTGGGGAAGAACAAGGAAACGGGGTGAGTCACAGCGGGAGCGTGGGGGGTCACCTTAACGCTGGGCAGCGTGGGGGTGGTGGAGACAGGGAGCAGCATGGGGCTGCCCTCAGATGTTAATTATGGGCCCTTTTTGGAGCCAGCTGGGCTGTGGCTCAGAACTGTCTCTGTCTGTGGCCCGGCATTCAAGGGATGTGTGAATAAGGCCCATGCTGGGCGGGCAGGCCCCCAGGGCAGAAGCAGGCTTGTGGCCAGTGCCATCCAGGCCTCCCCACCCCTTCCCTTCCCTGTCCTGCCATTTCCATCCTGGCTGCTAAGGCTCCCTTCCCAGGCAAGTCTCCATAGCAGGACCTCCTGCATGGCTGGAGTCTCTACTCACAGCAAATGGCCTCGTGGGAAAGGGCCAGTTCACTTTCTGTAAGAGTTTCTAAAATGGCAAAACTCCCAGGAAGGCAGGGAAGATCTGGGCACAAAGACGTGGGTGGCGTGAGGCGCTGTGTGGGCGCGTGGGGCTGGGCTGAATTTCCGGTGATTATTAGCCAGGGTAACAAGGACTGCCACACCCCAGCCAGGGGGCTTTCCAGGCCGGAGAGGTGGAGCTGGCACCTGCAGGAGGGGAGGGGGCTTGTGGGGTGTTCTGGGTGATCTGGCCCTAATCTGACCCTCCAGAAGGACTCTGTCAGCTGTGGCCAGGCCTGTACTGCTGTGTGCCTGATGCTTGTCACCAGCACATGGAACAAGGGCTCAGCCTTCTGCCGGTTGGCGGAAGGAGCAGCTGGGATGGCCTATGCTCCCTGTGTTCATCACAGCGCTCCAGGGAAACACCGATAGGATGTGGATGGATATATATTATATGTATAAATATGTACAAGGCTTTATTTCAATGAATTGTCTCGTGCAATTATGGAAGGTGGCAAATCCCAAATCTGGATGGTGGACCTGCAGGCCAGCAACCCAGCTAAGAGCCAGTGTTGCAGTTCAGGTGTGAGGGTCATGTGCACAGACTTCCCTCTTCTGGAGAGCAAGGCTTTGGTGCTGGTGGTCCTTCAACTGATTGGATGAGGCCCACCCACCCTGTGGAGGGCAATCTGCTTTACTCAAAGTCCACCAATTTAAATGTTAATTTCATTCAAAACCAACCTCATAGGAACATCCAGAATAATGCTTGACCAAATGTTTGGGCGCCCTGGCCCAGCCTAGCCGAGGCATAAAATTAACTAGCACTTGCCTCTCACCAGTGGCCCTGGGCCACTCAATCCAGACTCCCCTTGAGCCTGCTTTTCAGTTTGGTTGAGTGTCATTGTCCCCACTTAGCATCCAGGCAAACCCAGGGAGAGGGGCCAGCTTCCCCAGGGATGCAGGGTGGCCTGGGGGCTCCACTTGAGGTTGGGCCACATTTGCTATCTGGAGGGAACAGTGGGAAGAGAAGGGTTAACAACCACTCTGTGCTCAGGAGGCCAAGTCTCCAGAAACTGCTGCTGCTTATCCAGTACATTTTCCCTTCATTTATCAAAGCCCCAGGCAGCCTGTTGGGACCTGCCACAGACAATCGTCACCTCCACCTACCTGAGCACAGCCTTCTTGGGGTGAGGGGACCGCCCCCCTTCCAGGTGGCCTCCCCGTGTCTTCATAGCGGCCTCTCCTGCCGCCTTCAGCCCAGGGGATGGGCACCCTGCGGTCCCACTGCCCCTCGGAACTGCGGGAGCCAGGGCTTTGCAGCCAGGGCTGATTTGCCCTGCCTTTGCTCCTTAAATCTGAGGCCAGCACCACCGCTCCCAGGGGAAGAGCGGGACATCACCATACCATCTGTCCCGTTTGAGGAGCAGGGGCAGTGGTGGGCCTCAGCCTCCTTCTGCACCTGGATAGAGCCTGGGCCGAGTCCTGTTACGTGCCTGCAGTGTTTGGGCACGCAGGACTCTGATGGCTGGGAACTGTGAGGTTATAATCTGCCTCCTCTCCCCACTTCCCCTTGCCTACCTTTTCTTTCTTCACCTCTGCTGTCACCAGCATCCCCAGCCACCTGGGCTGGGACCCCTGTGGTCTCCCTCAGCCTTGCCCAGCACTGCCTCTCTGCCCACAAACTTCTAGAACTTGCCCTCTGCTCTCTGTCCTTCCCACCAGGCTCCAGCCCGCTGTCTGAAGCATTTCCTAGGACACTACCAGGGACCTTCGCATCTTCCAGCCGATGAGCAGCCCTCAGCTGCTCAGGGCCGGCACTCCTACCCAGCTGGCCTTCCAGCTTCTGGCCCTGGGAGAGGGCTGGCCTGGTCTAGAGAGTGTACCGTCCTCCCTGCTTTCCCCCTTTGCTCTGACAGTTCCCCCTGGGGTGCCCTCCACTTCCTCTGCCGTGGGCAAAGCAGAGTTAGGCCCTTCTCCTGGTCTAGCAGTCTCCTGCGTGGCTTCTCTGCGCATGGGATTTCATCCTGCTGCTTGTTGTGTGGCTTTTGAAAAGAAAGAAAGAAGGAAAAGAGAAAGAAAGTGAAGAAGAGGAAGGGAGGGAGGATGGTCTGAGCCCAGACCACCTGCAGGGTGGTGCCCATTCCTTTGTTTGGGGAACTGCTTCGATGTCATGTTCACGGCTGTGCACGTGGCAGGTCAGGTCTGCCTGGTGCCCGGCCCGGCTCTGAGGCATGTGCCCTCCAGCCTCTGGGAAGGCGCCGCTCCGTGCTGCCTCTGCTGGGCCCGGAAGGCCTTGCCCCGGCTGGACAGAGAGACCTCTCTGGGGAGGCCCAGGCTGGCCGGCTGCTCACGGCCTGGGCCTGCCGCTGTGTGACGTGGACTTGGGAGACACAGCGGGAGGCCTGAGTGGCTGAGGTCTTGGACACCAGTAGGCAGCACCGGCCTGGACCTCGGGCTGTGAGACCCCACCCACCCTCCATGAAGCCCCTGACTTGATCAATCCAGGTGGGCTCTTAGGGAACTGAGAACAGCAATTCTGAGCTCCAGGGCCCTCCCAGAAGGAGGCCAGCGTGCGTCAAGAAGTAGGGTGGCTAGAAAACAGATTTGGACTGGCTGTGAGCTGACTTTCGGGTGCCCAGCATTCACCCATAGAAGAGATGTGCCCCAAACTGGTGTTTCCTTTCCCTCAAGGCTTGGCCCATCCCCGGAGCTGCATCCCCGGGGGTGCCCAGCTGGACCTTGCCCAGCACTTGGGGCCTCTCATCACCTCACACCCTTCCTGCATCAGAATAACACCTGACTCAATTTGCATGTGAGTCATAGCACCTGAGATATGCAATGGTGGCCAACCTGGTAGAGACCTAGCACCTTACTGTAGAGGCGCTGAGGCTGAGACCCAAGGTCAAGAGCTATCTTGTGGCAGAACCAGGTCACCTGTCACCACCTGCCAGCCATTATCTCAGATAGTGTCGTTCATTGTCCAGCCACCAGCTTGGCGTGTACACCTTTGAGTGCTTTGCATGCGAGCTGCAAGCAGCAAGATAGCCAGCCCTCCCAAAGGGTGCGGCAACCGCTGAGCACCCCAAGTTTGTTAGAGCTTCTAGCAGGGGTAGCCAGTGCAAAAGGTGAAGCATGCCCAGTTACATTTAGATTTCAGATAAACAACCATTTTTTTAGTGTAATATGTCCTAAATATTGCATGAGACACACTTAAACTAAAATGTTATCCATGATGCAGTTTATTTTTTATTAAAATTTAAAATCCTCAATTTTACTAATTCTATTTGAACTTTTTATTAAAAATTTTTCATAATTTTTTAGAAGTGTATCCCAAATATTGCATAGGACTTATAGACGTTTATGAATAATTTACAAATATTTATAATTTATACTTATACTAAAAATTATTTGCTGCTTATCTGAAATTCACATTTACCTGGGTTCACTGAGAAATGGGAAAGAAGGTTGGCATGTGCATGTGTGTTTGTGTGTGCATGTGTGTGTGCGTGCGTGTGCATGCATATGTTTGGTGCTTCCTGAAATTCTAACCCTCCAGGACTCCAAGCCGTAAGGACTGGGTGAGCTTGGGAGCGGGTTCTTCTTCAGAGCTTCCAGACATCAGCCCAGCCAGGCTGGCGCCTGAACTTTACCCCAACAAGACCCGATGGAGATCATAGCCACACTGGACCCAGAACTGTGTGCCAATAGGTGGGCACCATTGTAAGCTGCTACATTTGTGCTCATCTTTACACAGCAGCAGGAGATCAATATGGAAGGTTTCTGTGATCTGAACAACACCCAGCCACTCAGAGGACCCACTTAAACCCATGTGAGTCCAGCCTCCAGGCCCCACCTGTCTCCCCAACATCCTGTCGCCTCCAGGTCCACCTATTTTGAAAAGCCAATGCTTTCTCCAAAGAAGATACAAAATGGCCAGTTGGCACACAAGATGCTCAATGTCAGTAGTCAGAAGGGAACTGCAGGTCAAAACCACAGTGAGGTATCACTACATACCTATCAAGGCAGTCAAGATGCCAGCAAGGATGAGGTATGGGAGCTCCCTGACATGGCTGGTGGGCACGGGGAATGGGGCGGCTGCTTTGCAAAACCACCTGGCTGTCCTGCAAAAGGTTAAACACAGACTCACCCTGGAACCCAGCCACTCCTTCCTTCGGTCTATAGCCAAGAGAAACAAAAGCCTATGTCCACACAAGACCTTACACACAAATGTCCATAGCAGCACTACGCAGAACAGGCAGGAGGTGGTAATGGCCCACGTGTCCAGCTGAGGCATGGATGCGCAGAATGCGGTCTAGCCACACACCAGAATGCTGTTTGGCTATAAAAGGATTTAAGGATGGACACAGGCTACAGCATTATGCCAAGTGAAAGAAGCCAGTTAAAAAAGACCATGGATCACATGGTTCCTTTCCTATGAAACGTCCAGAAGAGGCAAACCCATCGAGAAAGAAAGTAGATCAGTGGTGGCCAGGGGCTGGGGGACTTGGGGGGTGCTAGCTAAAGGGTAGGGGATTTCTTTTTGGGGGTGGTGAAAATGCTTTAAAATTGACTGTGGCGATGGCTGCACATACTAAATATATTAACTACCACTGACTATACTAAAA